GGGGGGAGGGGGGGGAATGAGGAGGGAACAAAATACCCGCTCCCATATTACAAAATTTCTAAAACCGTTACTACAAATAGTCCTATTGGAACGGTTGACACGGTTGACAAAACCGTTCCTATATAGAATACCTATGGTAACGGTGAACTGCCAAGTGGAACGGTTTAGTATCTAAAGCGTACTGATTTCATCCAAACTCTATTGTAACGGTGGTAACCGTTACCGTACCTACTCTATTGCAACGATTTAAGAACCGTTGCCAAAACAACTGTTCCGGTAGACCTATTTTCCAGTAGTGAGTTAAAGGAACATATGTGAAAATATTATCATCTCTCATTCAATTGTTGTAGTTAGGAGACTTTCAGCACTTTGCATAATTTTCTTGGCTATCTTTGGCTTGGCAGAAAATATTATTTCGGAAAATGTTGTCTAAACAATAAATCATCTTTTGGTGCTTCATACGTAGAAAATATATTTCAAAAAATACCTTTTCTTCCAAAAAAGGAGAAATGCCTTCCCTTTTATGGGCAAAAGTCATTGTTTTTCTCAACTATTTAATTTTAACTTAATTTCATCACAAGTCACAACAATCTAACATTATTCTCAATATATTTGATAAATACTTTTATCTCAAAAATATCTTTCACTCACCAGCTAAACACCACAAAAAATTAGAAGAACTTTTGTCATACCAAATACGCTTCATTTGATTATTAAATTATGTATAGAGTCAAATACCTAAATATAAAAAGGGATAGAGAATGAATGTTTATAGCAAGCACCTTAACAAATAATGTCAATAAACCAAAATAAGAAAAAAACTGTTATTGTCCTATTCAAGTCTACGTAGTATGATTGAAGTTGATAAAGACAAAGGAAATTTCTAGATAGTTGGTAATTTATTTATTATTTAAGTAAGTCAAGGATGAACATATCTTTTGTTTGCTAAGGAAAAAACACAGAAGCCACTGTTTTGTTCTGGATTAAATCTAAATGGTCTGCTTATTCTCTTGTACAACCCCTTCTTCCAAGAAACTTCCTAAATTTTATTCCTTAGATTTCAACCACAAATAGTGTTTTGTGATTATTTTTTAGGTATATATTCCGTACATGGAAAGGACAATTCTTCTGAATTCTCCCAGATATTCATTCCTAGTTCCATCCTTATAAATAAACACTTTGCATATGCATGTAACTTCAAGAAGTCTTGATAATAATACCACTTATTATCTGGTGTCCGAAATTCACTGGTTCGATTAATCCTTATTCGCGTTGTTCTAAGCCCGATACCTTCAAATTTGCACCAAGATGTCTCCAATCAACTCCATTAATTTGCCAAGAATCTTCTCAAAGCTTGACAAGAATGGTGATGGACTCGTGAGTATCAACGAGCTAAAGGGATTTCTTGATACCATAGGCATTAATTCAAGCCAAGAAGAGCTTGAGTTGCTTGTTGGGAAAACAAGCCTAGACTCCATTGATTTTTTCCTCTTCTATGATGCCATCACAAAAGCACATATTAAAGAAAGCAAGCGCGAAAATATTTTCCTGGAAAATGAGTTACAGAAAGTCTTCAGAGTATTCGATTTGAATGGTGACGGATTTATATCTTGTGAGGAGCTGCAGAGTGCATTGTCAAGATTAGGATTGTGGGATGAGCAATGTGGGAAAGATTGCAAGAACATGATTAATGTTTATGATACAAATTCAGATGGGAAACTTGATTTTGAGGAGTTTAAGGATATGATGTTAGATAATTAAGAAACTGTAATTTAAATTATTAGAAAGCAATCCCGCTTCCTATCTACCAGAAAAATGTTTAATTAGTTGTAAGCATTTGGAATGATGTTCATGGTCTGCTGGGGATTGTAGATTTGTTAAACTTTGTGTATTAGATTTTTAATACTCTATAATTTTACGCTGACGATACAAGTGGATGTCTATGACTTTTCTATCGTACTTTGTTCATTTTTTCGTACAAGTAACATATTGAAGTATTTATATTTGCAAATTGCAAGAATTTAAGGATCTTGGTTTCTCAACCAGACTCTTTCTTGTAATATCAGCAACCTTAATTGACAGTTTATTGAGACTAGTAGTCGTACCCGCGCGATGCGCGGTCAATATTAAAAAAATATTTGTTATTTTGTTAATTTTTCGATATTACATTTGGAATTATCACAATTATTTGATTATCCTAATCTATATAAACAGAATAGATATTGTCTAAATTTTAATAATAAAATCTCCATTAAATTAAAGGGACTTATATAGTCATCAAATAATTTTTTCGTTATGTATTTTTATTTATTATATTATCCAATATTTAGTATAATTATATTGTTAATAGAAATTATGACACTTGTCATTATAACATTTC